AAGAAACGAGACTGAAACACTTTGGAGGGGGTATCTGTAAGCGTTAAAAATTGCCCATAGGTCCTCAAACACAGTGCAAGACAAGGAAAAGACGATAAACGTTATTATCCAAGTCAAAGGAATTCATCCAAAATCAGCAAGGCGACGAAACGTACGCAAAACAAAGAAGCTGGAAGAATCACGAAACATTGCTTAGAAGCTTGAACAGTGCCGAGTCACCAGAAGCTGACTCGCACAGTTCCGAGTCACAACCACGAATTTTAGAGGAGAATCATCAGAGCTTGGCGAACACTTTCATAAAGAAAGCCCCTTCGAAAGGTTTGTGATTCTTTTCCCTTCTTTCCTCCGGATTAAACTTGGTTTTAATCTCGAGAAGAGCCACAATCTCGCTTGGTCGTGATTGTCGCTTCCGCAATTGTTTCCTTCGTGAAACAAGAGCGTAATTATATTGTCGATCGGCTTTGGTCTGCGGTGGTCCACGGACTAACGCGTCCCCGGCACAGGCAAAGATCCCACGCAAAGCAGCGGGAGATAAACTACTGCTGCGTTTTGTTTGATAAAGTTGTAATCTTTATTTTTCGTTGTAAGAAGATCTTATAAAAAGATCAACTCTCTTTTCAGTTTGAACTTGTAATCGATAAACGGTGTAACAGGTTTGAAAACAATGGAAAAGTCAACTTTTGACACAAACACCGGTCTAGAGGAAGTCAAATTTCAAGTGGAAGCAATGGACGCAGATGAAGGAAATATGAGATTAGAGAAGTTTGATGGAACAGATTTTAAATTTTAGAAGATACAGATAGAGGATTATCTGTACCAAAAGAATCTGTATCAACCCCTTTCAGGAAATAAGTCGGAGTCTATGAAGGAATATGAGTGGAACCTTCTAGACAAACAAGCACTCAGAGTTATCAGATTGACACTAACTCATAATATTGCATTCAACATAGCGAAGGAGAAGACCACAACGGGGCATATGGCAGCACTCTCAAATATGTATGAGAAGTCATCAACCACAAATAAAGTTCATTTGATGAGGCGATTATTCAATCTGAGAATGGCAGAAGGCGCGTCAGTAGCACAACACCTCAATGAACTCAACACGGTCATAACCTAATTGAGTTCAGTTGAAATTGAGTTTGATGAGAAAGTTTGAGCACTGATCCTTTTGTCTTCCCTATCAGAAAGCTGGAATGCTACAGTCACGGCTATGAGTAGCTCATCGGGAAGCAACAAGTTGAAGTTCGATGACGCTCGTGATCTGGTTCTTAGTGAGGAGATCCGACGGAGAGAGTCGGGTGAAGCTACAACCTCTTCAGTATTGCATACAGAGTCAAGAGGTAGAAATTCAACCAGAGAGAACGGACAAGGCAAATCAAACTACAGAGATAGATCAAAGGATATGAGGTCCAAGTCAAGGAATCCAAGCAATAGCTCGAAGACTATAGAGTGTTAGAATTGTGGAAAGACCGGGCACTAAAAGAATCAGTGCAAGAGTGTACAAAAGGAGAATGAGGCGAAGGAAGAGGTGAATGTCACTTCCACCTCAGGAGGAGACGACGCGTTGATATGCTCTTTGGAGAGCAAGGAAGAGTCTTGGATGTTAGACTCTGGAGCGTCGTTCCATGCTACTTCTCAGAAAGAATTCTTTGAGAAGTATGTCTCCGAAAATCTTGGAGATGTATACCTTAGTGATGATCAACCATGTGCTATCATGGGCAAATGTGTAGTGAAAATTAAGTTGAACGGGTCAGTATGAGAGCTGAAGGATGTTAGACATATTCCCGACCTGAGAAAGAACTTAATATCCATATGCCAGTTGGCTGGCGAAGGATACACTACGACTTTCCATAGAGATGATTGGAAGATCTCAAAGGGCGTAATGACGATTGCCCAAGGTAAGAATACTGATACCCTATATATGACAACAGGTGCACGCTGTTTGATCTCAGTTGTAGCAGGCAATGAGACTTTAAATTTATGGCACCAGAGACTCGATTATATGAGTGAGAATGGGATGAAGATTATGCACACAAAGGGAAAACTCCCAGGTCTAGAATCAGTGGAGATAGATATGAGTGAAGATTGCATACTTGGAAAGCAGAAAAGAGTTAGCTTTCAGACAAGTGGTAGAACCCCAAAGAAGGAGAAGCTGGAGCTCGTTCACTCAGATGTGTAGGGACCAACTACCACCTCATCTATTGGTGGGATACACTACTTCGTGACTTTTATTGATAATCACTCTCGAAAAGTGTGGGTCTACTTTCTGAAGCATAAGTCAGAAGTGTTTGAAGCTTTTAGGAGATGGAAAGCTATGGTCGAGAATGAGATAGGTCTGAGAATAAAGAAGCTTAGAACCGAAAATGGTGGTGAACATGAAGATACCAGATTCAAGAATTTCTGCTATGAGCACGGGATCAAAATAGAGAGAACCGTGCCCGACATGCCTCAGTACAATGGTGTAGCTGAGCGGATGAACAAAACATTGACAGAGAGAGCCAGAAGCATCCGTATATAATCAGGTCTACCGAAGCAGTTCTGGGTAGAAGCAGTCAACAGAGCAGCTTATTTGATCAACCGATGTCCATCAGTTCTATTGGAGCACATAATACCAGAGGAGGAATGGTACGGAAATGAGGTAAAACTCTCATATCTCAAAGTTTTCGGTTGTGTAGCTTATATGCATATTAGTGATCAAGACATCAATAAGTTTGATCCCAAGTCCAAGAAATGCACTTTCATCAGCTATGGTGAAGATGAGTTCGGCTACCGCATTTGGGCAATGAAAACAAGAAAGTGATCCGCAACAGAGATGTGATATTCAACGAGAAGGTAATGTACAAGGACATGCACAAGATAGATGCCTTTAACTCATAGGAGGGCGAGTCAACATTTGTAGATGCTAATGATGTCCCAGGTGACCTCTCGAAAGAACCAAATGCAGCATGTCCTCAGCCAGAAGATCCTGTTGGACAGAATGGTGCACAGGAGCCCGACGCACCAGCTCTGATATTGAGAAGATCTTCTCGGTCTCCTGCGCCCAACCGGAGATATATGAACTATATGTTACTTACAGATGGAGGGGAACATGAAAGCTATGATGAAGCTTGTCAGAGTGGAGATGCGAGCAAGTGGGAGATTGCCATGAAAGAATAGATGAAGTCTCTCATCTCAAACCAGACGTGAAAACTAGCTGAGTTGTCCACGGGTAAGAAGACACTTCACAACAAATGGGTGTATCGGGTAAAAGAGGAGCAGGATCGCTCCAGAAGATATAAAGCCCAGCTGGTTGTTAAAGGATTCCAGCAGAAGGAAGAAATTGACTACACCGATATTTTTGCTCCCGTTGTGAAGCTTGATACTATCAGGACAGTGATGAGTATTGTAGCTATTGAAGATCTTCATCTTGAGTAGTTGGATGTGAGGATGACATTTCTTCACGGAGATCTAAAAGAGGAGATATACATGTACCAACCAAAAGGTTTTCTAGAAGAAAAGAAGAAGAACCTAGTGTGCAGACTCAAGAAGAGTCTGTATGGATTGAAACAGGCCCCAAGACAAGTTTGACGGCTTCATACATAAGAAAAGTTTTCAGAAGTGCAGCATCAACCACTGTTGGTACTTTAAAAGATATTAGTCCAGTTATATTATCTTACTGTTATATGTTGATAATATGTTGGTTGCAGGTGCAGATATGGAGGATATCAGCAGTTTAAAACAACTGTTGTCAAAGGAGTTTGACATGAATGACTTGGGTCCAGTAAAGAAGATCATTGGAATGCAAATCACTAGAGACAAGAAAAAGGGTTATTGCAATTGTCTCAGACAGAGTACATCAACCGTGTTTTGTAGAGATTCAACATGGGCGACGTCAAGCCAGTCAGCACACCATTGGCCAACAATTTTCGCCTATCAAAGGGTCAATCTCCTCAGTCAGATGAAGAGAAAGAGAGTATGTCTAAGGTTCCTTACGCCTCAGCCATTGGAAGCTTGATGTACGCAATGGTCTGTACAAGACCAGACATTGACCATGCAGTAAGAGTGGTCAGTCGATTCATGTCGAATCCAGGAAAAGCTCATTGGGAAGCGGTCAAGTGGATTCTGAGGTATCTACGAGGCACCACACATAAGTGTTTGCACTTTGGTAAGAGAGAGGTGGAAGTGCAAGGGTACGTAGATGCAGACTTTGGAGGTGGAAGTGCAAGGGTCGAGGAGCTGTGTAGGCGAGTTCGAATCGACTCAGGCGAGGTCAACGCAGGCGGGGTTGGTTCAGGCGAGCTCGAGCACACGCGTGACTGGCGACGGGCTGTCGTCAGCCCGTCGTTAGGGTTCCCCTATAAAAGGGAACGCAGACTCGAGATCTTGGGTTGCTTCTTCTCGCTTTTCTCTTCCAGTGGCGGTGGACAAAAACCCTTTTTTCTTCTCGCGATTTCTCAACGACCATTTTTCTTTTTGCCTTTTTCTCTAGCACCCAGAGATTTGTATTTTTTTGAGAGATCTCAAGTTTGAGATCTGCTCTTGCATTGTCACTTCTTTGATTCATAAGAAATTAATTGTGTGACCTCCGAGGACATAGACAAGTTTGTCGAACCTCGTAAATATTGGTATACTTTTCTCTATACTGCGTTTCCTTGTTGTTTTAGGGGTTTAGCGTATCGCCGGGTTTTACCCAACACTTGTGCTAATTAGTTCTGGAATTGGGATTGGCCGCAATCCTTTTGTTAATTAGTTGTGGAATAATGATGGGATTGTGTTTCAACAGCAAAGACAACCATTAATTTCCGAACCTTGTCATATCTAGTTGTGTCTGTGATTGTTTTTGTCTTTCGCTTTTTCTCTCGGGATATGTAAATCAGATTTTCGGCTGCATTGCTAACGTACGCACGCATCCTTTTGATTGTACCTAGTTTAATTTGACCAAACAGTTTAAAAAGTATTGCGACAAGACCAATATCGCTTAGATTATAAAGGAAAAGGGTGGAGGAAATCACGTTTGCTTATTTGAACTCGAATCTTGCGGTCTTTGGTCATACGAAGGCTCCCGTGTGGGCGACTGCACGCCTTGGACTGGTTTCTAACTAAGACCAAAACATACGAGCACACGGAAATTGCCCAACTAATCAGGCCCGATATCAGTAACCTCGCCACCTAATTTTGGCCTTCTTCAATCCCAGTTGCTAAACTGACACTTGCTGAACTTCTCAACAACCAGCATCCAATCTTTTTTTTTTAAAAAAAAGTGAAGAAAATCAAATTGGGTATAAGTCCATTCTCTCCTTCTCCTTCCCCTCCCTCTGTGTTCTCACATGATACTGCAAAGGGCATGTCTCTTCTCCTGATACTCTCCTTGCTCCTATTCACAGGTACCGTGCGGGCTTCACTCCCTCTTCTTTCTGCTGTTTCATTCGTTTCTCTGTGTGTCTTTTTTTTTTTTTTTTTTGATTTTCTGTGTCTTTTTTTTTTTTTTTTTGATTTTCATCTAACATCTTCCTTCGATAGGCGAAGCGGCCTTCGGAGCATCGCAGGAGACCGATAAGGATATCCTCATTGAGCTCAAGCTCTTCCTTCAGAAGTCCAATCCGGTTAACCAGGGTGAGTACGCGCTATGGAACGAGACAACCACGAACCCCTGCGGGTGGCAGGGGATCAGATGCAACACGTCTGGTCGAGTCACCGGGGTCTACCTCAACGACTCAACCATCACCGGAGATATCTTCTCTGGTTTCTTTCAGCTCACGGAGTTAACTCACCTCGACCTCTCTAATAATACGATCGGGGGCGAAATTCCTTTAGACTTGAACAAATGCGTCAATCTCCGATACCTCAACGTCTCCCACAACCTCATCTCTGGCGAGCTGAAGTTGACCGGTCTGACAAAGCTCGAGACTCTCGACCTTACTCAAAATCGTTTCGTGGGACGGATCGAGTCCAATTTCCCCGCACTGTGCACAAGTCTGGTTACCCTCAACATATCGACGAACAACTTCAGCGGCGACATCGGTGATTGCTTCAACGGATGTCCGAGACTGCAGTTCGTCGACCTCAGCTCGAATCAATTCAGTGGCGAGATATGGCCAGGGTTTGAGAGGCTACGAGAGTTCTCAGTCGCAGAGAACAATCTCAGGGGTAGTATAAGGAAGACGTTCTTCTCACCGAGTTGCAGTCTCCGAATACTTGATTTATCGTCGAACGGCCTGCAAGGTCAATTTCCAGATACGATATCCAAATGCTCAGAGCTTGTTTCTCTAAACCTATGGGGAAATTACTTCACCGGCAGAATTCCGCCGGCCATCGGATTGCTCTCCAATCTCACCAGTCTTTTCATCGGCAACAACAGCCTCGACAGCGAGATCCCTGACCAACTCCTCAACTGCTCGAAGCTCACGTTCCTTGATCTCAGCCGGAACAACTTCACCGGAGACGTCCAACCAATCTTCGGAAAGTTCAAAACCCTGAAGATTCTACTGCTGCGCATGAATTCTTACACTGGCGGCATCCGATCTTCGGGGATCCTCGACATCCCTAACCTCGAGATGCTCGATCTCAGCTTCAACAACTTCTCCGGCGAGCTTCCTGTCGAAATCTCCAGAATGTCAAAGCTCAAGTTCTTGATCTTAGCTCACAACAGTTTCGAAGGGAAAATACCAGCGGAGTACGGCGCCATGACGTCTCTCCAAGCCCTGGATCTCTCGTTCAACGTTCTCTCAGGCGAAATCCCTGCAAGCGTCGGAAACCTCGGCTCTCTGCTCTGGCTGATGCTCGCAAACAACCGACTCGTCGGAGAAATTCCCTCAACGATCGGAAACTGCAAGAGCTTGCTGTGGCTGAACCTGGCCAACAACTCCCTCTCCGGCTCAATCCCCGCTTCCGTGTCGTTGGCGGGGACATTGAGCAAACCGAAGTCGATAACCATCGCGTTCCGAGGGGCTTACGGCGAGTGCCTGACGAGAAGCGGTGGAGTTCCGGCGACCTACCGGCGCCGTTCAGCTTCGGCCTACACGCTGATGACGGGGAAGAGCTGCTGGACTACGTGGGACCGCCTGCTCAAAGGCTACGGTCTCTTCCCGATCTGTCTCAATTCCTCGTCGCCGGTCAGAACTCTGACGGTCTCCGGCTATCTTCAGCTCTCAAGAAACAGGCTCTCCGGCGAGATTCCGGCCGAGATCGGAGCGATGAAGAGGATGAGCTTGATCCACCTCGAAGAGAACAACTTCTCCGGTCGATTGCCGCCGCAGATTGCGGGCGTACCGCTCGTCGTGCTCAACGTATCCAACAATAGCTTTTCCGGCGAGATACCGCCGGAGATCGGCCGGATGAATTGCCTGGAAAGTCTGGACCTTTCGTTCAATAATTTCTCCGGCGAGTTCGAGGCCAGCTTGAACCGGCTCTACGACCTCCACATCTTCAACGCCTCGTACAACCCTTTGCTCTCCGGTCAGATCCCGATCACGGGTCAGATATCGACCTTCGGGAGGGATTCGTTCCTCGGGGATCCGCTGGTCGAGTTTTTTGGCGGGAAACGACCGACTGGGGGAGCGCCGGCCGTCGTTGGCCGGAGGAATGGGCTGAGAGCGGCGGCGTTTTGGCATATTGCTGGCCTTGGCGGTGGCGCTCTTCGCTTGCGGTCTTCTCTATCGTCCCGTGGCCTGTCGGTCGGGTACCGGTCAACGGCAAGATCCGGATGCAGGATCGGCGTTTCCTGACGGGGCTAAGCGAAGAGCGACACGGGGGTCGGTCCGCTCCTATCGGTCGAGCGGAAACGAGGCTAAGGTGTTCCGTTTGAATAAGACGGCGTTCACTTATTTGGATCATCGGTATGAACGCGACCCCGAGCTTTTCGACGAAATGGTGATCGGGAGCAGGAGGGTAGCGGGTGTGTAACGGAGTGGGTGCTGCCGATGGCGGCACGTGGCGGTGAAAGACTCGAGAGCTGGGTCTCCGAGGGGAGAGGGAGTTCAGGCCGAGATGGAAGGCCGTGTACGGCCAGACCGGATCCGAGTGCCGCGACCCGAACGCTAGTGATGCCTCTACCCGGAGTGGTGTCCTCTTTCGGTGGGCA